ATCTGCTGTCTCAACGTGTTGCATCCTTCCAGAGTGAGCGGAGTTGCATCAGTGTTTAGGTATAGGAAGCTCACAGAAAACTCAGGGAGCTCAGAACAGATGGGCCTAACTGAGAGTGTACTTTCACCCCAGCTTCAAAACTGGGAACAGTTGCCAAAGGAAAGCCGTTTGGGTCCATGAACTAAGCGAGCACAGAGAATCAGCGAGTGCAGTTCTCATCCAGCTGCTTCACTCGTTTAGCATGAACCCAGCAGGTCCTCTGGGGCTCCTGCATCCCTGTGTAGTAACAAAGCACTGAAGAGCGTTCTCCCTTTGAAGTATATGCAAGAGAACGAGGAGCAACGAGTTACAGCATTCTCATTTTTTAGGAGAATTTATTTTGAAAAAATTATTTAAATCATAGAAACATTTAAGGCGTCTACAAACAGTTATATAACACAAAACTGACAGTTGACCCTGCCGTAATTATTCAGTATGTTCGTTAATAGAATAAATGAAATAATACATGGGAAGTTATGTCTGTTTTTATCCTGTCTCCAGTTCTCCCTTCATGAATTTAGAGCAAATATTTCATGGCTCTTTTTATATTGATATGTGAATATTACTTTAAGTGTTTTAGAAGATTTAACTGAGTAACAGATGTGGTGCACTCCTGTGATCTTAGCACTCAGGAGGCTGAGGCAGAAGATTGCTACAAGTTCAAGCCCAGCCTGGCCTACGTAGTGAGACCCTGTTGGGAGAGGAGGTTACCTGCGTAACCTATACTCCTCTTGCTCAGAGAATTATTTTAAATATAAAATTCTGTTTAACCTTTTCTTATAAATATAATTTTTTTATTAAAAGTCTTAGTAAGAAGGCTGGGATCTAGGTGTGGTGGTACACACCAGTAATCCTAATACTCTGAAAGGCAGAGACAGGAAAATTGCAAGTTCAAGTGCAGCCTGGGCAACTTAGTGAGACCCTATCTCAAAATTTAAAAATAAAGGGCTCAGTGCAAAGACCCTGGGTCCAACCCTAGTACCACAAATGAATGGCCAGGGTAGAAGGTGAAGAAGGGAGAAGGGAAAGTGAGGATATAGCTCAGTGATGCTGCGCACAAAGTCCTGAGTGCAGTTCCCAGCACCAACCAGAAGACTTTGTTCTTATACCCCATGACATCATGGCAGATTTTTAAAAGATGTGTTATGGAGGGTGTATAAGCCCACATTTATTTTTTTAGGAGTATTTCTATTGATGGATTATTAATTTTAATTTTATGTTTTATATCAAACAATGTGTACTTAACAAGAAATTGACATATCAATAAAATATTAAATTTTTAATATGTAATGTTTAAAATAAACATCAACATTTCAAGCGTCAACTGTTTACTTGCTTACAAAAGATCTAAAATATAACAGCAGAAATAAATTCTTGTGTGAACCACAATGAAAATACAAACAAAACGCTACCACAGAAATAATCTGTGCTTCAGTTATCACACCGAAGGCAGTCTTCACACATGACACCCTGACAGCACGTATGTTTTGTTTTCCTGTCTTTTCTGGTAGGACATACTTGACTTCTTGCTGGTCTTCCTGTTTCCTTAGGAGGTTCTCGTGATGTCTCAACTGTCTGTTCATTGGTCTGCTACAGAATTCACTGGCAGAGTTCTCTGGGCAGATACATATTGTTCTTCCTCTGTTACAGTTATTCATTGATCACTTCCACTCCCAACCCTCCAAGACAATTTCTCCGTGATATTTTGTGATTGTTATTTTCTTTGTAAATGGTGAAACTTTGTGCCTGACGTTAGGATTGAGTAAAACATGACCATTGCCCAACACTGTGTTTCGAGTGACATCACAGTTGCTACATAACTTGTCAAAACATCTACTCTGCCTTTCGTTTTGTTGTAAATTGTGACCGTTTCTGGCTTCACTTGTGTTGAGGATTCACTATCCATCTTTTTTGTTGCTGTTTGTTTTGAGACAGCGTCTCACTGTGTAACACAGGCTGACCTTGAACTCACAGGATCCTCCTGCCTCAGCCTTCCAAGTGCTGGGGTTATAGGTGTGCACCACCATGCCCCATGCCCCACTTCACTATCAATCTCATAATCATCATGTGATGTTGAAAGTATCAACATTTTGTCTTTCTTTTCCGCTAGGAAGCCAATGCTACGTCTTTCTCAAATCCAAAGATTGTACTGTGCATTTCTCTATGGTGAACTTGCAACATTTTTAGGGAGTCTTTGCTTTTCTCTGGTGAACAGTTGCTGAGCTGGTCACCTGGTGTTCTTGTAGCAGATGTGACGTCAGTGGGAGACTACTAAACTGACGTCGAGTGTGAGCTCCGGGTTACTTTCTGAAATAGGTGCAGCGAGTCTGCTCGCAGCGTCACACGGATTATTGCTGCACCAGCACAGACCTGGTGGCTGAGTTCCAGGATAGATTTCTACATTAGGGTGTGAAATGTCTTCCCATCTACCAGGGCGTGTTTTTTATACCACACTTGGAAGGTTTACTTGGCACATATACCCGAAAGCTTCAACAGCCACGAAATGATGCGAGTTTTCATCACTTGTCATGTATTCACACAGTGTGTAAATTGCCTGACAGTTCGAAACAAAGGAAGAGATGAGCAAAGGGCAGCCAAATTGTCAGATTTTTTTTCTGTCATTAAAATGTAGGCAATTTTGAAGGAAACCAAATCTCTTGAGTGTCGCTGTTGTTCTAAAAGTCTGTGTCACATCTATCACTTCTCCATAAATTGGTTAGATTTTGACGATTACAATTACAGTGATAAACTCCTGCTATCAGAGCTTTTAGTTCAGAGAGGGATGTGTTGTGGTCAGTATATTTTTGAGTATTACTACTGGTGCATGTAGAATGTTTTATTGTGTTTCATTATTAGTGTATTTTTCAACATCTTGTAGTGTATCGTCCATCAGAAACAACTGCCAATGCTGTATTGCAGTGCTGGCTTTCCGTCCAGCAGGTTTCACCCTGGCAAGAACCTAGTAACATTTTCCGACCTAGTTCTAATGTTGGATCGTTCAGGTGCACATGACCATTTTATAGCATTGTGACCATCAAATACTTATTTACATCACTGTTTTCTTCCTCATCTGAATCAAAGTCTTCACCCTGTACTTGTCCATCTGTCATATCTTGCTAACTTCTTTGGCTTACACTATCCAAGTTATCCTTGGTAACTAAGTCACCTGATGACTCATTTTCAGCCTCCTCCCAAAGTTGTAAAAGCAGATTTTCATGCAACATTATAATGAATTGGATTAATTCTACAAGAAAAATCAAAAGAAAATGGTTAATAAAACAAATTATAAATACACAAAGACATAACAGCACATAACATGGGTAAAACTCACCCGTCTACACTTTGACACACATGCATACACCTTACTGCTATTCATCATACCAAGTGGATAAACACAAAGACTGCTTCTTTTTTTTTTCTCATTGAGTTTATTGGTACTTTTTAGGTATATAGTACAGTTACATTCATCATTGGGATCTTGTACCTTTACATGACAGGTCTTGGTTCTCATTTTTTCTCCATACCCCTGCCCTCCCTTTACCCCCTCCTCCCTTTCCTATAAAGATTGCTTCTTGTATTTCCTCAGTGCTATTGAGGCACACATCTGGGTACTATTATACTAAAGTCCATATTTTCATTAGAAAAGTATGGTAGGGGCACCTTTTACCCACTGAAATGCTCCAGGATAAGTTACAGCTTTGGAGTAATGGTGGGGAAGGGATGGACAAGTTCAGCAGTTGAGGAAATCTGGTCTGAAATGTAGGATATTTGCAGACTCCATTCTAGCAGAAGTCTCCAGTAGCACTAATCTCTGTTCTTACCGGTCTTGTGGTTGTTGAATACTTGCAAATACTGTTTGTGTGAAAATATATAGCTGAATTCATGCATTTTTATTCAGTGTGTAGCTAGATATATGTATGTATAATTATATATGTGATGAATCATGTATAGTAAATTATATTTAATAAATTTAGACTGTTATGCACACATTCAAATATGCAGTTAAATTTACACACTTATAGTAAAGTGTACAAAGTGTAGTAAAGAATGTTTTCTAGTAATTAATCTTGAGTAACTTGAAGAAAAGTATAGTACTTTTTAACGAGTCCCAAGAAGTATTACCTTTCTATCACGATCCAGTAGAACCCTATTCTTTTTTCACGTAAATGCTTGAGATTTTGGCTTCGAGGTTTTGTTCATTGTGTTCTTATATTTCCTCTTAGTAGACTGTGATTTCCTTTCAGACAGAGGTAATTTTTATTTAGATTTGAAAGAATCCGGAAGACAGTTCTGTGTGACAGAAAGGAAGGATATTTCAGATCGAGACTGTGCTAATTACGAGACAGTTTACACCAGTTCCATTTAAGCCTTTAAGTCTAAGTTCTTTAAACAAAGACTATTGAAAGTAAGTCTAAGTTCTTTAAACAAAGATTATTGAAAGTAATAAAGCAGTGTAACAGACTTAGTTGTCTGTTAGTATAAATTAGCCTAAAACAGTGATTCTCAGTGTGTCATCCTAGGATCAGTACGTTAACATCTGCAGATTTAGAGATGCAAACTCCTGAGTCAGCAGTTCGGGAGGTAGGTCCGGCAGTGTGTTGAACAGGGTTTCCGAGAGAGTCTATTCATGCTCACGTTTGAGAACCACCAGCCTAAACTAAAAGTGGTTCATGGAGTAGTTGAAAGGTCATGGGCTAAAGGACAGACAGACTCGGATTTGAATTTCACTTCTCTAATTTAAAAGGCCTGTGACTGCCAGTCTGTTACATATGAGTGTTGAGATTTTCACTTATAAAATGAAAATGACGACACTTACCAGCTTTGTTGTGAGGATTGACTGATATACTTTGAGTGCCTAGTACTCTAACTGTAGGAAGTATGGTTACTACTGGCAATATTTTTCCATTGTACTGATTACTTTTACTTAAGGAGTGAAAACATGCTTGTATTTTTGCTTTTAGATCCAAATGCTCAAGAAATTAAGGACATCTATGGACTGCGTGGTCAAATAGAACACAAAATAGCCTTTTTGAGAAGTCAGGTGCCAAAAGATGTGAAGCTTATCCTCGTGGGCCATTCGGTAGGCAGTTATATGGTTCTTCAGATGTTGAAGTACGCTCCTGAGCTCCCAGTAAGTATGCCGAAGGAGGTAGCTGATTGCACACACTCACAAACCCTCCCGAGCTTTCCTTTGCTCTTTTGTCTTATTCAGTAGACAAATAGAACAGAAAAAGGGAGAGTTGGTGGCTGCCTTTATCCTTAGCTATTATGTGACCTGTGTAAGTAGGTCATGGAGATGTGTTCATGGAGACGTTTCAAAGAGTAGAAAAGGGAGACAGAAATTTCGAAATGAATGCCTTTGATTCTAGGATTATCTGGAGTGCTAATGTTACTCTTAACTTGCTGTCTTTCATAAGGCAATATTTAAGAGCAATTATCAGCTAAGACATGAATAAGAATCTTATCTTTTTTTTTTTTGTTTCCCCTGATACCAGAGATTGAACTCGGGACTTTGTGCTTGCGAGGTACCACTAAGCTAAATCCACAGCCCTAAAAATCTTTTTATTGTGGGAGAGTGTTTTGAAAATATGTCTCCTCTCTGAAACAAAAAAAAAAACATATCAACATCGTTAATAGGCCAATGCTATAGAACACTACATCTTCAATCTCAAGTATGGCTCCTTTATTCTTGACTTGCCAGCCTTTTTTGAGACACATTTGTTCATTCACACATACTCCTTGAGTGCTGCTGTGTGCTAGATATTAAGTGAGACACTAAAGTAACGGAGATGAATTTGAAGTGAACTGCAAAAGATTTAAAACAAAAAGTTACACTTTGCCTAACAGTGTACACCATTGAAATGACCCACTGTAAGGATGTGATTGATGAGATAATTTATTTATTCATTCAACAAATGTATATTAAGGACTACCACGTATCAGGTACTGTACTGTTTTGAGGACAGGTGAGAGAGCCAGGCGTGTGATGGAAAAGAAAGACTAGCCAGTAGTTGTGATAGCTGTCACCTGTGTATGGACTGGGCGTGTGGAAACATGAAGGAGTGCTGTTTCACCTAGTAATCTGGAGGCAGGAGAGGAAGAAGTCCTTCGTGTCACCTCTGTGCTGGGATCTTGAGTTTTTCATTTTTCGTGACAAAATATTTCCCTGGTAGGGTCTTGGAGCTCCTTAGGAATTTGCTCCTTTTCCTGCCAGCTTGACTCATCTCTCATTATGGCCCTCAGAAAAACATAATCGTGGTCTTCTTGGCTAGGGATTTCAGTTCCAAATAGAGATTTTTAGTTTTCTCTTGTTGGATATTAGAAAATGCATGTTTCATTTCTAAGTGAATTCAATAAATTCAAGATTGTGCTCCAATTTGTATTATTGCTTCTACTGTGTTGCCCTCCCCCGCCAGGATAAGATGATTAAAAACAGAAGAATAGGCTTCGTTTGTGCTTTTGGCCTTTTATGTGGCTTCTGATATCTATTGATACACCCTTGAAATCCCCTCTAGGACTATGTTATGTGATTACCATCTTCCGGGTTTCAGCCCTGCCTTTTAGTAGGTTCCATGTGCACAGTTGCTATGAGCCCTGGTTCTAGAACCAGGACACCTAGATTCAAATTCTTTGGTGACCTTGGACAAGTTATTGAGTCTCTGCCTCAGTTTCCTTATATGTAAAATGGCAATAATAATATGTTCAGAATGCTTTTGTGAGGAATTTTATCAAGTACTAAGAAAGGTACCAAACAAAAGCTCCAAATACTGCGTTATTATTATGGAAATGACACTAGAATCATTGGCTTAGTCGTTAGATTTACTACCTTACTGGTTATCCACTGCTGTGTATCAAATTGTCCCATAACTAGCAGAGTAAACTATATGCATGCATGAAATGTAATCAGAATATCCAGTGAATGCTTCAGTTTTAATTTATTATAATAAAAGACACTTTTGCCATTAATTTCCCTCAAAATATTCCCGTGTTGTCTTATGTCTCGATGTCCCCACAGCCTCATGCACTCATAGGTAGGGCCTTTGGGAAGTAGCTGGGTTGGGGTTGTGGTAACTAAATTGGTTTGGCGTAGTTCTCGGTGTGGCTAGTGGAAGCCCGATTGTGGGTGTGAGTGGCATCAATCCGTAGGCTTGGAGCCTGAATGGACTATAAAGGGGTAGAAAAAAGGCAGGCTGCTGCCGCCCACCCCCTACCTGCTCTTCATGGACTGTTTCTCCTCTCTGGGGCCTCTTTGCCACCCTGCTTTAGAACCAGCCAACTATGGACTAAAACCTCTACAAACTGAACCAGAATAAACCTTTCCTCCTTTAACTTGTGGCTGTCAAGTATTTTGTTTCAACAACGAAAAAACTATGACTCCCTTGTTCCAGACACACTTATGCCATCATTCTTGCCACTTTCTTAAGCAGTTCTGGGAGTCCTCTTCTGAATCTTAACAAAGCATGATCAAAAATGTGGTGACATGCAACAGAAAGGCAAGCTCCCAAAAGCAAGATGGTGGGTCCTCGTCCACCTAATTCTCCAGATTTGGCACAGCGAGGCTTCTGGCTCTTCTGTAAAGTCAAAAGGACCGTGAAAGGTAAACCTTTTTAATTGATTCAGGACATTGAGGCAGATGCAACAGCGCAGTGCAGACACAAAAGAGGACTTCCAGAACTGTTTCGGAAAGTGGCAAGAATGATTAGATAATTGTGTTCAAAGTAATGGGATATACTCTGAAAGGAATTAATGGCAATGTGTCTATTACTGTAAAAATTAAAAAAAAAAAGATTTAAACATCCACCCTATATTTTGAACACACTCCATATTCTCTCATAGTTTCTAGTGCGAAATCTAGCCACAGCTTAGCCGAGTCCTCTGCAAAAGTTTCTCACAGCATTACCATCAATCAGCCTGCCTTCGGGTTATGGTCTCCCATGAAGACTTGAACTGAGGCCGGGTGTGGTGGCACACGCCAGTAATCCCAGCACTCGGGAGGCTGAGGCAGGAGGATGGCTGTGAGTTTGAGACCAGCCTGGGTTACATAGTGAGTTCCAGGTCGGTCTCAACTACATAGCGAGACCCTGTCTCAAAAAATCAAACAAACAAACAAATGACTTGAACTGAGATGGATCTGCGCCCAAGTTCACTCACGGGGGTTGTTTGCAGGATTCGGTTCCTGAGAGTTGTTGGGTCTTAGTTCATTCTTGACATTGGGGTGGACATCACTCTCCGTACGTGGCAGCCTCTCACTGGCTGCATCAGAGAAAACTGGTAAAGAGCCAGGGAGTATCTACTGGCAGGGTGGACGTCAGGCCGTAACTGAGTCACAGGTGTGACAGCACACCACGTCCGCTCTTTGTTCTTGTTAGAATCAAGTCACTAGGTCTGTCCCACACTCAAGGGTGGGACGCACCAAGGTGTGAGTGCTGGGAGGTGGAGAGCACTGGGCATCGTGTCAGAAGCTGCCCCTCCCTCCACTGTAGAGATGGGATTTCGTCGGAGTGAAGTACAATCAAGCATGTGAATATAAAAATATGTAAAATATTGGGTTTATTTCCTGGTATAGACATGACTTCATCCTGTCAAAAACTTTTAGTAAATTGATATGAAATAGCAATTTTGTTACTAAGTTATTATTTTGCTTAAGTCATTGTAAACATTAAAAAGGATCCTTGCATATATGAATTAATAGCAGCATTACTGTTCAGGAAACATAAGGGAAACATATTCCTTAGGTTATCACAGTCTTAACTTAGTCACAAGTCTGTGCTTTTAGTTTTTGTTTGCTCGAGATCCATTCTACATGCAGTACATGGTTTCTCTTACGTATATTTGAAACCACTTGTGTACCACATTTGCTTTGAACCATTCTCTCTTTCGGTCTTCCATTTACAATGTCTGTTGAGAGAGAAGTACAGCACGTCTTAAGGTTAATGTCTTCCTCTTACAGCTTCGTAAGCTTCATTACTTTGCGATTACTGCATTGCTTTCAGGTGTTCCTGCCCTTGCAGGACTCATAATGGAAGGGACTTAGAGCTCAGTGGTAGATCATGTGCTTAGCATGTGTGAAGCTGAGTTCAATCCCCAGCACCAAAAAAAGGGGGAAGAAATGAGGGAGGGAAAAAAGAAATGAAGGAGGGAGGTATGAAAGAAGAGAAGCAAGGAAGGGAAGAAGGGCAAAGAATTGTAATGAAAAAGATGGAACACGAACTTAAGTTTGTAGAGCTACAACTCATACTGTGACTATAGAGTTTTCAGAGAAACATATGAAACTATTTTTATCTTCATAAAGAGAGTTTGCTAGAAAATAATATGTGCAATAAATTGTCCATAAATGGTGCCCTTTTGGGGGACAGCAAGAGAGTAAGGCAACTGTATGTTTTTTTATTATTCAAAAGCTTTTTCTGGTTTCAATTAACTATGCTATTGAAATCCCCCGCACCCCGCCCGCCACCTCACTAAACACCTGGGCCAGGTCATGTTAGTGATGTGATCCCTGCTGAAGTGTTGAAAATTCAGTGTCTCTGGGCTACTCAAGACAACACATACTGCATGCCTGAATTCAGTTAGCACGACACGCTCCATTTGAGATGCATTTGACAATCAGGCAAGTTTGTGTGAGCCAGAGTGTTGCAATTCCTAATCATTTTGCCAAAAATAAGTTAACTGTTATGTTTTATAACATATGAAGTGTGATAATAAGAAACTTGTGTTTCTGTCTATTCTTTATTTTTACTGGAATTTTTGACTCCCAGAGGTTTTAGGACATATTTGTAGTTCAGTAGCAGGATTATTTGGTTGTATTTTGCTTCAGTTCTGTATAATATTTTTGTGACTAATTACAGGCAATTTGGGTCTTAACATATTTTAAAAGACTTATTACATATGTCCGGTATGTCATTTGACCAACATTTGATATGCTGTAAAAATCATTGCCTCTTAAAAATCGATACTTAATTTTTTTGTTTTTTAAGAAAGACTGCTGAAAATGCAAATAAGGATCAAAATGTATAATAGATAATGTGAAATTGGAGGAAAAGGTGCAAAGGGAAAGGGGAAGTAGGAGGGGTCGGGGAAAGGAAGGAGGGGAATGGAATTATGAAAAATGGATACAGACTTTGTAAACAGGGA